GGGCAAAAAGGGTGCGAACCTCTAAATTCTTGATGGTGCAGTGATGGATATGGCCAGACGTGTAATTACCAAATGTGTACGTCACAACGACTCCATCAGTGTGGTTCTTGACATTGCTGTTCTCAGCAGCCCAATAAGTGACTGTGTTGGAGCCAGGTTCATGAGGTGTGATCCAAGAGATGATCACTGCCCTGCCTTCATAATCCCCTTGTGTTATATGTACCTTCAAACACCACATCCGTCAAGCGACCACAAAATCCCAAGCTCAATGTTTCCATTAAAAAAAACAATCTTTTTAAGTAGAGCATGAAGAATTGGTAGATTCAGATGATAAGTAATGTGGTGAACATACAATACACATATGAGATGTCCGGCTAAGCTCATGGGTCGGGCAAGGCTAGACTAATTTCGTGAACATATCCAAGAGGTGTATACAATATATTCTAACATTATCGAAATGATAGCAAATTCTTGTGAATAGATGGGACCAACCAAGTTGATCCTACTATCCTCAATCTCTGAGTTTCATGAGATCAACACGCCCCATCACGCACAAGTTGTGGGACCCACACACCGGAAGGGCAAGAGGATTGATCGGCTTCCCTTCCATCTCAAATCCTCAAACCTATTTCTCACTTTCTTCTCCCCACAACCACCCCAGCCCACCCCCAACATAGCCACATAGGCTTCATCTAAATTGATGTCCAAGAACAAAGAATCCACTAGCAAACAGATTATTTAATTCAGAGAAAAGGCAAACAAAACAGTAACACCTAATCTGATTAAGAAAGAACATGCCAGTCGACCTTTGATAAAATCACAACAAAAATGAAATCTTTAATGAGGAACTAAGTATGGCAAAGCATGGGAAGGAGATAACCTGCTGGGGCGCATTGTATCCAGGAGGGACTGAAAAGACATCACTATCCAATGGCATATCACAAATATCGGACACATTACTGTTCCTCGTATAGCTACTGGTCTCCCCTGCCTCACACAACCAGGTGAGATTCACGATGATCAAACACAATCCCAAGATTAAGCACGACAATCCAATCTTCAATCCCATTCTTCTTTCTTTCTGCAAAAAATTGTTTTTGACCTCCGGAGCCTCAAATTCCCATAGAGAGAAAAAGAACCCACCTTTTTTATTTACAAATAATAAAAATAATAAAAAAAATAATACGAGTACTAATTTTTCAAGAATAGAACAAAATCAAGAAAGCGTTTGGGAAAGGTACAAAGGAATGTCCACTGCGAAAGTTTGGGTGGAGTGAGTGAGAGGAGTTCTTATTATAACTTCTCGGAACAACGGAAATGGGCGGTATGAGCAATTGAGCATAGCCAACTCACGAGCTCAACCAGAATATTAGAATATGCCTTTGGCTGATTCTTGAAATAACTAGACTCGAACCCGTGCGTTGCACGGTCTAATATTAATTATATAATTAGGGGAAACATTGATATAATTAAGAGAAACATTTTGGTTTTAGCAAAGATACGTAGTATACATCTAAGAGGATGCATTTTACAATTAATGCAGTAAATGGAAGAATACAACTATAAGTTTTGGAAAACTTCCTTATAAACTACATTTGCTGTTTTATTTGATGTCGCAGGATCTTCACTATCAATCAAAATCTTTAATCCACTGTGATTTGTGACTCGTGATAATGCCACGTAAAGTTGTCCATGACTGAACACAGGTTTCTTTAGTAATAGCCCAACATGCGTCAATGATTGTCCCTGACTTTTATTAATTGTCATAGCGTAAGATATCATAATCGGAAATTGTTTTCTTTGAAATTTAAAAGGAATTCTGGCATCCGATGGTGTAAGCAACAATCGCGGGATAACCTACCAATATTCTTCCCTGTCAAGACCTTACCTTGAATTAGATGATTGCCAAGTCGTGTAACGATCAACCTTGTTCCATTGCACAAACCTGACGACTAGTCTATATTCCTCAACAACATCACCGGTGTCCCAATCTTTAACTTCAATTCATGGTTTGGAACCCCAGACGCTCGGATGTTATTTAAGAATTCAGGAGAATGCATGTCACTTAAGAAGTCCAAATTTGAATCGGATTTACACACGGCATCTGAACTCAAATAACTTTTAGCTTCTCCTGTTTGGTTCAATGAGGTCATGTATTCATTGATTTCGTTCACAACTTCTAGAGTTGGTGCCAAGATTGCCCTGTTTTGCAAATAAGTAGGATCAATCGCGATATTGTGAAAGTCTGGATAAGTTGAATTTACTATAGACACAATCGGATCACCGGAACTTTTAATCAACAAATCATCGGGTATAATAACCTGGCCAACCCCATCATTTTCCTCCCCAGCAAGTCCATCACCGATACTTGCAATCCACTTGGCAAATTCTGACATTGCCTCAAAATGGTCATCTCGGGCATTTCCAACACATTTCCATATCAAGTGAATCTTCAATACTGTTGCACTTGTAACATGGATCAATTAAACTTCCAATTCCTCCTATATTTGTAAAAAAAAAGTATATCATGATTTTTTAAAAGAAATGAAAGCAAAAGAATAATTTAATACTCCCTCCGTTCTAAAACCTCTTTCCCACTTTCCTTTTTCTCCGTCCTAAAACTACTTTTCCATTAGAAAAAAGATAACAAATGACATTAATACCATCATGTATTTGCACCAATTATACTCTAACTCTATATTTTGAATGATTGAAAAAAATTTAAAATATTTTTTAAGGAGGGTAAAATTTAAAGTCAAAGCCAAAAATTAAAAAGGGGGAAAAGTCAAACTGAGAAGAAAGTTTTAGGATGGAAATAGTATATTTTAAGTATACATATCATGGCCCAGTGTGTTAAATTGGCCCAGTTGTAATGTTAAATCAGAAAAAAATAATTTGGGCCCAATAACCTTATGTTTTTAATCTTTCGTTCCTATAACCTATCCCTATCCGTTGCTGCCTACGACTCTCTACATCTCTCTAGAAACCTCCACCTTCGTCCCTTAGTCGATGGGCAATCACCGCCTACTCGAATCGTCAACTATGGTTATCTGGTTACTACCGATGTTGACGCCGGCATCTATCTTAGTTTTTGAAGTACTCCGACCATTTATTTCCAGCAAGGGGTAATTTTATTCAATTTCATGCAATCTCAAATCTGATTTTTTCCTTCTCACATCCAATATTTCTAGATCTTGAAATTGGGGATTTATATCTACTGTCTTTGATTTCAAAGATGAGAATTTTTTTGTTTCATTCAAAATTTTAAATTTTTTTAAGCTCCATATCTGCATTTGAGAAGAACAACGATTTCTTCTAAAAATCCATATTTCTTAAACTGAATTACTCGTTACATAAGTAGATTTAACTTATTCAATTTCATGCAATATCAGATCTGAATTTTTTTTTCTTCTCACATCCAATATTTGATCTTTATTTGAGAAAAACAACGATCTATGCTAAAAATCCATATTTCTTAAACTAAATTACACGTTAGTCCGGAGATTTTTATTTTTCGGTGCTTTTAAAATCTAGAATGTTAATTTCTGTTTTTTTAAAGCTATTGTACCTTATTAATCATGTTCAATAATCTATGAACATGTTTAAGGTTCAATTGCACATTAACATATCCTTTATGCTAAAAATAATTATAATTTAAATTTACTATCTCGATTGATTGATTTTATTAGTACCTAGAAAGATTTTACATATTACTCATTAATATTTCATATATGAACCCAGAATATATATATATATATATATATATATATATATATATATATATATATATATATATTTGTATATGGTATATAGGTATATATATGTTTATATATCTGTATCGAATCTGAGATAAAAAACCCATGATTTTTTTTAATAAAAACAGTATTCATATTCTCTTATAGGCGGTAGATATAATTGTTTTATATAGTCATTAGACCTCAATATTCATGTTCAGCTTACGGTTTGAGCATGATGAAGGCTATATGGCACATTTCCAGTTTCTTACGGCACGAAATAAGTTCTAAAGACATGATTCACTGAGGGTCTAATACTAAGATAGGTAATTCCAAACTATAATTACCTAAGTATTCAAAAAGTCATTCCTGATTGTATCGCTAATGATTATTTTATTTTTACTCTATATTTTCTATTTTCTATCATACAAACACATTATTGATTGCAGATCATCAATCTTAATCGATATATACAAATTATCGTAGGTGTTAAAGTCACCTTTGTCTGGTTCATCTTCGAAATGAAGAAATGGATTGATCCTCTGGTTTTTGGTAAGCTTTCTCATCCCAAATGGCTTAGCAGTCACAGGTAACCTGATACGAATATAATTCGGATTTAATTTAGGAACATTAAATTTCGTAATTTAGGAACATTAAATTTCATAATAATCTGGAATTAGAACTATTTTCTTAATCATCTCATGTATTAGTAGAATTTTAGAGAATTGTATAATTCTGTTATTCCAAGGTGGGCAGAAATCAAACATTCAGGGGGGCTTAGATTCAAAAGAATTTTTATCATAATTGGAAAATAATTTTTTTTTGGGAAACATTTAATATTTAATAAGGAACACAAAGAGGGGAATGAATTACTAACCTTAGAAATGGAAATAGGGATGGCAACGGGTCGGGTTCGGGTCGGGTTCGGGTCGGGTAGTACTATACCCGAACCCGACCCGACTTTTAAAACCGAAACCCGAACCCGACCCGAAACCCAACCTTTTAAGCTAAAAACCCGACCCGACCCGAACCCGACATTTCAACCCGAAACCCGAACCCGACCCGAACCCGACTTTTAACCAATAATCAATTCAACGTATCCCAATAATTTTGAAATGCTTAAATCTAATTTTTTTCATGTCTCTTTTTTATGTCTCATTTTTTATTAAGGAATTATAAAAATGATTATAAAAAGCATACTTGATATAGTAGCACTTTGTCAAGAAATTATACGGAGTACTTATTATATCCATAGATAGGCTTTTATGTAATAAAATATTCGGGTTTTAGTCGGGTCGGGTGCGGGTTCGGGCCGGGTCGGGTAAAATTATAAATCCACACCCGACCCGACCTGATGTCGGGTTCGAGTAAAAAAATTCGGGTCGGGTTCGGATTATTTTATTCTCGGTTCGGGTTCGGATATTTTAATGGTCAGTCGGGTCGGTTAAGCTCGGGTTCGGGTTGAATTGCCATCCCTAAATGGAAATATGAAAGGTAGATAAATTGCTCAAGCTCAACTTCAATGTGGTTGTTGGTAGGAAAGATTAGAAATAAATGAGCCAAGAAGAGGGAAGTAGTAAAAGACTTGTAGTCATTTATAGTGTATTTAATGCAAGTAGCATAATTAGGCCTATGCTAGTTCTCTGGGTTTGGATGTACACGGCTATAATATATTTTTTCACTGCATTATTTTAACTTGAATTTCACTAAATTTTTCACTCTACCATTTTATAATTTTTTAATGTCACCCAAAATATTATTATTTTTTAAAATATGAATATTGTTATCCATGTATTATTGTTTTTCAATAAATAAAAATCCTTCCTCTACGTAGATATATATAAAAAATATTCGATTTAAAAATAAAAACTTATTTAAAATTCTTAGTAATAAGTTTTTGATCTTAATTAAATTTTACATACGAATCTTTTTTTTTGCATTAAATGTAAGTTTAATATTATTTTATTATGAAATTAAAATAGTTAATTCTTTATTTCAAATATTATATTTTAATTTAGTAATTGGGTGATGGGAAAGTGACATTTAATGGGCTCGATTTGCTGTCTGGTAGTGTATCCAGGCGCCGACTGTCCATATTCCTTTCCATGGGCTGCATTTAATGCTTTGTACTTAAGTAATCATATCCTATGCTTAGGCCTGTGGATTTATACTTAAGGTCTATTCTCTTCCTATATTGATTTCTATTTAATATCACTAAAATGATTTTTACTAATATTTATGTAAATATATTTCTGGAACTTAAAAAAATTTCAATATGAATATATATTTTGAAATAATTTTTTAATATGAATATATATTTAGTTATATATATATATATATATATATATATATATATATATATATACACGTATATTTAAAACAAAATTCTAATTCTAGGAAGTAGCGTATTTTTTATTTTACATTTTAGCATATTATTACTTGTTTAGTAAAATCTTTAAAAAAAAGGAAATCCATTTTTTAAATTTAGTCCAAAAGTGGTGTGTAAGGGTCATTTAATGTGCCTGGGTCGGCGTGTGGCTCTAGGCGTGGGCTGTTGGTGTCCATGGATGTATTTAATGCTTTGTACCTACATAATGATATCCTATTCTTAGGCGTGTTATTTTATATATATATATATATATATATATATGTTGTTTTTTTTGAAATTAGAAATAAATCTCATATTATATTTATTATTTGATAGTTATATGAAGGTTAAAGGAGTTTAAATGGGCTAGATCGCTGTTGGCGTGACGGTGTTGGTGTGGGCTGTTTACCAAATAACATTTACTCGAATTTTTTTTAAAAAATAATACTAATCAAGAGCTGATCATTCAAACACGGTTGGCTTTAAATAACCGGAAATGACTTCAAGTCAAACATGAAGCTTGGGAAATCCAACCCAAACAAAGTTTTCACCTTGGTGTCTTGGAAAAATTCCAAAAGCTTATCATTTGAAGTGGTTTTCAAACTCTGATAATTGTCATGAACAAACACATTTCGAATGACAAAAACACCACCCTCAGTGATTTTATTTTCAAATTTACTTCTTTCCAGTCGGTTGAGATGAGCGTGAATCCTATTTCCTTAATCAAAAAAAAAGTATGTGAGATATTTAGATTTAATAATTCGAAAAGTAAAATCATACTTGGGGAATACCATACATGCTCATCGTGAAATATGATCTCCATGGAATCCCCGCCTTTTGCCCACCTCGACACAAAGTAAACACACACAGCTCTTAACATGAGAATCCATGATTTTTTAGTGTTGTTTAGGTCGGAAATAGGAGCAAACATTGAGCGGTGATTGTTTTGTGGAGCTAGAGCCATTGTTGTGAATTTTCGATTGTATGAGATGTGTATAGCCAAGCAATTACAACATTTTATATATATATACACACCCACAAAAATATTAATGCATAAGTGCATTAATTGCTTGGATTGTATTTGATTTGCTTTCTAGAGCCACTCACCTTTTAAATAACTTTATGGAGCCACACATTTTCTAAATCAACTTTATGGAAGAGTGCACAACTTTAATTATATCAAAAGCATTGAAATGACAATGCATTAATTGCCATCTGAAAAGCAGTCCCAATGGCAGCCAAAAGCAGTCAGCCCAACAGCCTGAAAAGCAGTCCCAATGGCAGCCAAAAGCAGTCGGCCCAATAGCCCATCCTTACCCAGCCCGAGGCAGCCCAAATAGGCCCAAAGAAATGGGCGGGAACACTGTTCTAAAATGCATCCTAGCATTGTATATAGTTAGATGATTATGCCTTTTTCTAATTTTTTAAGCCTACTCACCTCAATTCTTACTTTTCTACTCCTTTAAAAAATTTCTTTTTTACTTTTATTTTGTACGGAGTAATACTTATTTTAATTTATATAATTAAACTAAAAAAACACAAAAAAATTTACTTTAAACATTTAAAGTTATATATTTTAATTAAATTAAAAGTAATAATAAAATTGATACATTAAAGTAATTGAGACAAATTAAAATAATGGCATAAATTGCTTTTCTTTTTCTTGACTCCGAAGTACTACGGATTTACGCATACTCAGATAAAGTTTTTTCCATCTCCATGATAACGTTTATGAAAAAAGTTTCGGTTTTATAGGAAGAAGACAAAGATGAAGAATTCGACATCGAATCTAATGAAGAAGACGATATTGTACCGAGAAATGTTTAAAAGCAATATGAAAAGTGGAGAATTCAAAGAAATAGATGAGAAGTGTTTCAAAAAATATGAGTTGTGTGTTGTGTTTAAATAGTGAGAATTTTAAAAACTTTTGAAATTTTTTAGCCCTAACAGCTAATTTTTCGAAAAAAATAGACAATGGAAGTTGGCCAACGGGAAAAACAGGGAGGGAGCCCCGCTCTTCCCATTCCCGCACACGAGGCGGTGTTCCCCTCCCTTTCCTTGTAACAGGTCACCTTCCCGCTGGCCTGCAAGCACACCCCATAAGCTAAAAGAAAGTGCTAGAGGAACTCCAATTGTCTGAGTATTTTTATTTGTGCATTGGTGTACCTCAAGTGGGGCTCCCCAAGTATTAATTTTTTTAAATCAGGGATGTCGGGTTTCATTTCTGACAATTATGTTTGTGAGAAAATTATTTTAGCATGTACCACATGCATGCTCTATCTTATTTCCATCGATTAAAACTAAATTTATGTACAAAATGATATGAGAGAAGATATTTTGTATATTGAATTATGTTGGAGAAGATCCAACCTCTTTATATAAAGCAGATATTTTGTATATTGAATTATGTTAGAGAAGATCCAACCTCTTCATACAAAACAAATTTTTAGCTAAACTACTGAGGTCAAAAATTTGTACTGTATCATGAAAACAAATCAAAGCACGATCATATTCAGAATCCATACTACATATACCATTGTCTTGTAAGATGTGGTCCCGAAGCACCCAAGATTGGGACATCGAGATCACGAATCACGAAGGCATAAGATAAAGCCTCAAAAATCGAATACAGCCCCAGCCCCCACACTGAATATGCATGGAGACAAGTCGCCTTGGAGGTCTCTTAAGAAAAGGCCTCCACAAACCACCATGTCCTCAATCGCCCCACGTAAATTTTTTGTCAAAGACCAAAGTTGCATCCATCATGTGTACGAGTTGATCACATGTCTTCAAACTAAAAAAATTTGGTTATACCCATATAAGAACGAAGCAGAAATAACTCACTATGCGTATCTCGCAATTTGGGAAGAAGACACATCAAATCAACAACATTGATAGCTCTCTTATTTGCCAAAACATTTATAAACCCCGAATCTTTACTCATGACCCCATTAAGTAGCTTCATCCCCCAAATCAGCCTCCTCATGTCTACAAGAAACAACCATGGATACGGCTTTCCACCATCATACAGAAGCTAAAATAGCTCAATTTTCTTAACATTCATCTTAAGTCTCAATGATGGCGGGTCATTCTTATGATGTCCCGCACTCTAGCCACCTCACATGCATCTCTAATGACAGTCTCATCATCAAAATACCAGGCACGAATGAGAAGCTTGTAATTGTCTCTAATCTGATGTACAAGTGGG